GGAACAGTTTAGGCTGTGGTTCTCTTAGTGCTTGAAACTCTGGAACCGGAATGTGCATTCTGATGCATCCCGATCGTCTCCTCTGTCGATCGACTGTTCGTCTATCGAAGCTGGAAATTATAGCAGACAGACTCGATCGATTTCGATAATCTTCCTGGTCCAATAGTATACTTACAAGTATTCTTGATCATCCAGGTCAAGCGCACCTCGAAATCTGCATAATGCTCTCTTATGCAGTTAGTTAATAGGGAAACGAGTGATGGATATAAAAAGAATCAGTTTCTAAGTCAGAATAAAAATGAAAAGAAAATTAGAATTTTGTTAGGAGGATTTTATTAAAAAATGAAATTTGAGGTTTTGATGCATTATAAGGATGTTATCATAAAGTTTGTTTACTACAATTTCTGTTAAACTTTTTCCTCTATCTTTTCATGAAAATATTATAAAATTAATTTTAAAAAATATTATAAGGTTAGATAATGTGATAAATGATTTGAATATTTTTTTTAATGGATTTTTATTCAACATTGCACATTCTTAAATACATTTGGTCTCGACAGAGGAACATTATTGGTGGGAAATTCGTTTTATCTAATCGAAAGGGGATCTCCTTTTAAATTTAACATCGCATTTACAAAGAAAAACGTACAACCTATTTACAAAGGTACACGATGGCAGTGTTGATACTTTCAATTACAATTCCTTCTTTCAATCGATACAATACGTGTATGTACAGTGTACACACGTATAATTTTGCTTTTCGAACAAAGTAGCTTCAACGACGATTTGTTGAATTTCTATTCAATATTTCAGAGAACACCGTAATTTGAAAGGCGCCATTCGAAAGAAACCCCTTAGTTTCTTTTACGTTTCCCTCGTGGCTTGTCTGCAAATTAGAAGCGAGTTATGATAATATCGCCGTGAACGGCACGCGAGAAGAAACAAACTGCGTATTTCACTTAAAAAAGAATAAATAGAAACGATGCGACTTAATTTGAAAATACCTGTAATTTTTTAGGCGGTTCTTAAGGTTATAAATTTCAATGTTGAGTGTTTAAAGAAAAACGCTTCGGAATTTTGAAATGTTTCCAAAAATTTTATATCATCTCGAAGTTAAAAGGGTTGCTGTGGAGGGTCATCAGTGGCGGACGCCTTTTTTCAAAAATTAAAAAAAATTTTTTAAATTAAAAAATTGGAAATTAGAAGCTCGGAATTTGAAAGTTTAAAATTTCATAAGCTGCCAACTGGAAAATTTAAATAGCCCTTCAGCCCTTAACATATCAACAAATATTAAGCAATTTGGTGAATAATCTCTTATTTCCACTATGGCATAGTAATTTCCAGTCATTTCATGTGCATCAAACAGCATCACAATGAAAAACGTTTTTCTCTAGAAATCTAAGTTGCATATTTTTTACACATATTTACACAAATAAACAAAACCGCGCGGAACGAATAGACTTTTTCCACGGTGAATAACAAAGTGCCTTGCGCTACCAGAATCGCTATATGTAATCGGAAATGATTTTCTTGGTCGGTTCGCCTACTTCTTCCTCTTGTGTCAGCTTCTTTCCGTCAAGTGCAAGCTCCTGAAGCGTATCGAGTATCCTCTCATTACTCAGCCGTGCAAAATCCCACGACGGAAGACAAATAGCTTTTGCTACGATGACGAAACACGGCCTGATGCACAAATGAAGACGTTCCACGTTCACTGATTAACACCTCTTGCCTGCATTGTTTGCCAAGAAACGGCCACACATGAGCTTCAATTGCTTCCATATTATCATTGGCGTAAGTGGGTAAGGGTCAGGCTGAATTTATTTTCTTCGAAAATTCACTGGGTATATTATTAATGTACAACAGAAAAATTGAAAGCCTAAAATTTGAAAGTTAATTGGAAGTTTGATTATTAGCAAATTACAAATTGGAGCTTACAATTCGAAAACTGCGAATTGAAGCTTGCAATTTAAAAGTTGAAAAATTGGAAAATTAATTACTATTGTAACACCTAAAGCTAAAGGACCAAAACCACCCTAGACCACCCTAGTTACGCCAATGGATCTTCTCTTCCACCCCTTCTGTTTTAACTTCCACATCATAGTTCCAATCGTGAACAAGCTGATGAATAATTAACCGTTTCTGTTTGATCGACGAATGAATCAAGTACATTTCTATCGTCTTAATTGAGGAAGCTGTCTACTCAAGACTCAGATTCTCTTCTTTGTTCCACAGTGGTTAATTTCTAGAAGCTTAGCGAGCACGTGTAACGATATGATGTTTCTTTTAGTCAAGACTCTTGTGGTACAATTAGTTGGATTTATGATTATGGTTATAGATTACGATCGCATCTTTCTTTGATAATTACGAGCTGCTTTAATTAATTTGTTGGAGAAGCAATGTGTGCTGACAGTTGTTGATTTGAAGAGAAGGAGAAAGAATAAGAGAGAAAACAATGGTAATTTGGTAATGAAGATTTTGATAAATTGCCATTTTCTTCTAATGAAGATGTTTAGTGATATTAACAGTAGTCGGCTTGACTTGAAAATATTGACACCCATTAGAATATTCTGAGGTTATACGATTTCTTAGTAATTAAATTTCAAGTTTCCAAATTTGAAGCTTTTACATTTCAAACTTCCAAACTTCAAGCGTTGAAATTTCAAGCTTTCAATTCGTAATTTTCAAATTTTTAAAACAAAACCCCCCTGTACACTTCCAAGTGTCGCGACATCGTTTAATGTCTCTTTTGAAAGCTACAGCCTCAGAATATCATAACCGCGACTATACTAACATAAACCGTTCCTTGACTTTCAGTATTTTCGTGCATCTCTTCGGAATGAAGAGAAGCATCTTCCTTGCACCGCGAAGAAAAGCAAAGTAACTCTCTTACTCTTCCTTTGCTTCTCATTCGCGCTCTTTTCGCGTCTGGTCGGCACCATCTATCATTCTGTCAGCTAGGAGATTTCAATTTGCTCTCTTTTTGCGCCATTACCGGGCCCCGAAGCCTGCGCAAAATTGTATTTAATTGTGATTGACTGCTAAGTGGAGGTGGCCGACCGTCGCCATTTGTCCGGCGATTTTTGCATACGCCTAATTGCGGGAGGAACATTGCCTCTGAATCTTGACCTCCAAATTAACCATGTTGCCAATTAAAAAGCTTTGTTTATAGAAAAGAATAGTACACCAATTTTGGATCACAAGAGTTGACACGTTGATTACCATATTTTGGTGACATTTAATTTTCCATAGAAATCTCTTCGATTTAGCTAATTAGAAATAATAGAAATATTATAAAAATAATAGATAAGCTATGCTTAGAACAGAAATACTATTTAATGAAATTTTCAACAACTTCAGTGTGATAGTCAACGTGTTAACAAATCAAAGTACAGATTCTCTACTACAATTTCATCCAATTCTCTTGTTTATTTCTGTTAGTCGAAGAATGAATCGGGTCAACACAGTGTCTTCCTTAACGATTACAAGTTCTTTGGTTTTCCTGGGAAACTGTTAGTCAATTGTGAAGTTCTCTATTCTTTAAGTTTAGTTTACATTGATAGAACTAATAGTAGAGTACTATTTTTAGATGTAATTTATTAGTGTACTCTGCTGTTCCATTTTCTTTTATTTTTAGCACTTTACCAAACATTTACTGAATTTTTCTTACTCTATTTATTTACTTCACCAATGTAAACTAAGCTTTACAGTTAGTTGACGAGGTACTTTTTGTTTCGATACTACCAGATTGGTTTTTACATATAATGTGAAAATATTGAATGTGTGATCAACGAACAAAAAATGCACAGTAGTTCATTAACGATCATGTACCATCGTGCAACACAAGGATGTTACGTTTTCTTCGTAGCCAGGTGAATAAATCAGCTCTATCGAGAGATCCCTGTTTTCTATTTATATATGTACATAATTACCTATACAGCGTCGCAATAACTTAATCGAATCTAGTCAGATATTTACACAAAGCCTACAGCTAACAATAAGACACTACGGATCTATGTACAATTAAACTCTAGACAAGTACGCCTCCGCTATTGGTATCCTTGCAAAGCCAGTTGCATCTCTCTGTATGTAGAGGTATTCCAATTATTAGACCAAAAAATGAGGAAGAAAATTTTTAATAATGAATTCACGCATTTTCGTATCAAATACTAAGAATAAAAAATTTTCATATTATTTACAGTTTAAAATAGCAATATAAAATTTTACCACTTTCTTACTTTAACGAGCACTGGAAAAGTTAGATAAAATTAAATGAGAAAATTAATTAAATAATTCATTAAAAAAATATTTAGAAATATTGCTAATTTATTTGTAAAATTTCCTATCAATAAAATTTCATTAAACATTATGCTGGTCATAATTAGTCTAATAATTTGAACACCTCTGTGAGTCAGAGAAGTTCGTCAGACTCTGGTATCAAAGACGTTATCGCGATACGATCTTTTGAAAAATGTTTCGGAATCCGGCAACAAGGCCGCACGAGGAAAAAGCATTAGCGAGAAGCGCGGTGTACATGCTGCAATCATCGCTAATTAAACTATCCGCAAGGATCGAAATTGAAATTCTTTCCCCGGTTTCTTCGGAGAATTATTGATGCTGCTGGACCGCGTTCCACAGAGAGGTTTGTAAAAATTTGGAGTATATACTTTTAACACTTTGACGATCATATATTTAATCCTTCGTCGGGTAAATAGTTTCCTGGGGTCGTTATTAACACGCTGAACACCGTCGAGATAAGTGATGATCGCATTAATTATACTTGAATAATTAAAAGAAAAATATTATTTTGAATAACATTACTCTCGTACACTAATAATGACCTGATTATTTTTAAATAATTATTTTTAATAATTAAAGTTTTAAGTGTTCATTTTCACGACGGCGATCAACGTGTTAAGTACTATTTTAAGTAATAGAAAATTACATAAATTTTCAAATAATTATGAAATATGCTTAATTAATCCGAGGAAGGGTTAATAGAATGTAAGATATTTTTAATTTTCGGTTCCTTCTACTATTTAAAATAAAAATATTTCACAGCTTCTATAATGTACACTACGAAATTACTATTTTTTCATAATAACACAAGAAATTAATTAGAGTCGTCAAAATGTTAAGATTTAATTTAAATATTAACCATCGAACGGCAGTGGTGAATCAGTCATGCCTCACACCCCTAAAAGGATGCTTCTCCATTTGAATATCCGAAGGATTAGTTGAAAAGTTTGAAAATGAATATAAAGAAAATACTAAAATTAGTCTTAGTCCGCCGTCCGAGAGTTAACACGTTCCATGCCATATGGGTCACCGATAGCCCATAATACTTTTCAAATACAAAATTTTAGATTTAAGATTATTAACAACGCTTATATACTTTTTCCAATAGCATACCACTTATCTGTCAATTAATGTTGTGGACCACGTGAAATCTGGTTTATGTCGTCCATTGGTAGCTGGACCATCGATGTTCGTTCTAAAGGACCATTATCCGTCTCGATGACATTCGTAATTCAGAAGATCCCAGTTGAAAGGAATAGAAACTTCGAGATGCTTATATTTTGGCAACGTCCGCATATTCTCTCAAAAAACAGTACAAAAGTACCATTTCTCAAGTAATACGAAAAGTACCATTTCGAAATCACACCAATGAAACCTCAGCCTCGAATCCTTTTTTTAACTTGGAATACTTCAAGTAGTACCTCGATTATCTCGAAAAGGAAGTACCTTATTCACAGATAGTCAGCGGTGTTCGATTTGATCTCCAAGAGTTTCATCCTCCTGCTCACTCCCTTTGTAGCAGCTCGTACAATGCAGCGATATAAGTCTGCGCCATTTGTAGAGTCTCAAACTTGCTGAGCTTTCTGTCGTTACCGAGGCTGGGCACAACATCTCGGAGTCTATCAAACGCGTCGTTCAAACTATTCATCCTTCTTCTCTCACGAGCGTTGGCCGCCAATCTCCTCTTCCTCAACACCTCGATCCCTGGCGTGCCATTTTTGATCTTCTGCATAGCATCCTTCTTCTGTCCACCGTACTCCATCGACGACACGTGAAGAGCGTCGTTTTTCTGATACCTGGACGGCTCGCATTTACCACTCTGGTTGTTATTCTGAATGTAATTTTCATTTCTGTGCACGCTGTACGCGGCGCCCAAATAAAGAACGTCGCTTCGTTGCCCATAAGGATTGCCGTTATTCCTAGCCAAAAAACCATCACCTTTCGGGACACCGTAACTCTTCGAAGGAAAGAAATTCTCTTGATTCTGGACAAAATCGCACCTGCTGTTACCGAAGACGTTGTGCTCCACCTTGGTAGAGACGTCCGGGTTCTGTCTGACCGATGGGACCTCGTTGGAGAACTCGGTCCGACCTGGTACACCGTCGTAATTTTCCACGCACTCGTTCATCCTGTACATCTTCCCGTGCTCCTTCACGATTCTAGGGTTATTAGGATGACTAATTTGATGGTCGTTTCGGCAACCCTCCTGGTAGTAACCCTCGTAGAACTCGGTGAAGTTGAAGCCGGTGGCTGTCACGTGAAAGCTACCATTCGTCGCACCGATCTCTTGGTACTCACGGTTCTGACAATCGATGGAACTCACACTACCACAACTACTTCCTCTGGATCTCGGTGGCTGAGGGTAGATCTCCGGGTGGGTCCAACTGCGAGGATTCGACTCCGGGCTACTGGCTGACCCGTAGCCCTCGGAATCTAGCAGGTCGTACTGTTGGAAACTGGTGTATGCAGTCATTCTTGTAATCTTCTCTTCCGTCTTTTTCTTTATTTGTAACAATTGCAATCCTGCGATCGAAGATCCTTTCAACCTATTGTCATCTCATTTAAACGAACGAAACCGAGCGACAGAAGTTGAAATGATGATCATTCGTGGGTTCTTGGAATTAGAACATTCTTCTAGACACTGGTGTTGTTTCTGTCAGACATCGTGATGTTTTCTTGATTTTCGACTTTGAATGAACGGGAGTGACGGGGTTCCTTTGGGATCACCGTGTATGCTTCGCGTACGGAAGCGTTGCGTAAACTGGCTTCACCTGGCGATCTCGTGGTCTGGACCATGCTGCCCAGTTTTCTTAGGGCCCGATGGTGGGGAGAGAAGACTCTTCGGACCCACGTGGAAGGGATTGCTGGAGAAGTGGAAGGGGTCCATAGGGAAGTGGGCATCTCTTTGTAGAAGCCGCACGACCGGACACGCCCCTCGTCTTCCTTCGTCTCTTTGCTGGGGGCTCTTCGAGGTACAGTCAAAAGACGATCTAAAAGAAAGGCGCTCTATCAAGTGGCACGCACGGTCACGGGACCGAGGCGACGCGTTCTTGACATTCGAGACACAACAGCTAACCACAAATCCATTTATTTTTTCCTTTTTCTAGTTCCTTTGACTTTTCGTTCTTGGACTGATTTTTTTTGTTTCCTTAAAAGATCTTACCGATTCAGGAAGAGTTAATTCGAATTTGACCAAATTTATGGAAAGGGTTAATTCACCCAAAATTTAAATCATCAGAAAATTTAAACGATTGAATTTAACAATTATCTCTTTAAAATAGTTCAAATTAGATAAAATTAGCTTACACTATTTTTGTACTTAGCGAAACATTAGTACAGAAATAGCATCAGCTATAGTTAATATTTATCTACGTGTCATTCGCAAATGCTTCTGATTTGTTTAACGTTCTAAGACTTTTGAACATACGTTTATGAGTATGGTAAATACGGAACCAATAACAAGTTGACAAGTAGAATTGAATTAAAAATAGCTGTGATCTAAAAAAAGAATTTCTGGAATCAGTGAAGCAAACTGTATATTCTCAATGATGTCATAGTTATTAACAATACAGTTAGTTTTGTGTTAGTATCATATTTATTCTCAGTATTTTCAATATTAAAAATATTTTGGTTTTCATCAAACCACCTCAACAATGTTGTAAATAATAATAATACTTGAAATATTGTCTGAAGCACCTAAAAGTGTTATGTTCACCCTAATAAATATTAAGCGAGATTTATGCAAAAACATCATTATTGACGAACCTTACATATGGATATTTTTACAGGTGCAAATATCCGTGTTGGTCCTAATGTTTATTATACTCTTTAGAGTCTCGGTTGGAGTTCATTAACACCTTATCAATGAATTGATCAATAGCTTTGTTTACGTACGAAGTCACATAAAGTTATGAGAATCATAGATTCTAAGAAATGTGTGGTTTTCAATGTATTAGGTATACTAATTAATTCTGTGATTTTTCTTTTCTTCAATTGAAAATTTGCTTTTAAAAAGTCTGGTAACTTTAATTATTGAAGTAATTTTTATTGTTACTGCATTTTCGCACCACTTTTCAAATACATACACAAAAATTTAAATTAGGAATTAAAAAGGAGTAGCGCTAAAGGCATTGAATTAATTCATATGTCTAAAATTATTAGTATTTTCAGTTTCGAAAATACCTACTCTTGTAGTATTTATATTATCTAATCTATAATTATGTTTATACGCAGTCTAATTCTCTTAATAATCCTTTTAACACAATATAACGAAGCTAATGAAATGAAATAAATTAACCATCGACGCGTTGCCCGAGTAAACCCGTGATTTTCGAAAATTTTCGATCCCACGAAAAGTCAGCCCCGGGATTCTTGTAGGCGTACCTCATTTATTTCCCTCCTCTTTTTCGGAAAGTCGAAGTCACTTGGCTGTTCGCAAAAGGCGGCAGCCTCAAGAAGCTCATTATCCTTCGCTAATACGCAACAAATGAGCCGATTCCTTGTGCCCTACCCACAGGAAAAAAGGAGCGGGTACAACGTCGGCTTTGTACGCCCCTGGATGAGCTTTAATTTATATAAAAGGTTATTGTCATCAAATACTGCTTCGTACACGAGTCATAAAATTAATTTCTATTATTTTTGAAACTGTTGACTTCATATAAGTAAAATTATTCACAAGTATTTTTTCTATTTCTTCGTTACATTACTGTCACATATTAATTGTAAATATTTTCAATATTAAAATTCACAATCTCCTTGCAATTACAATTATTATTAAAAATACAATCTTGAACCTGTAAGATCCACCAGCTGTGATCTTTTGATACCTTTTCAATTTCCATGTTCATTATACGAAGCACAATTTAAATTTAAATTAACAGTATCTCTTCCAATATCAGAACACAAATTGCAGTTATTCCAAGCTACTCTTCAATAATTTTTAAACAATCGGTTCGTGCCGTTACATCTTGGATATCAACTGGTTAAATGATTGATGGTGTTCAAGCTAAAGACGCGAAAGAAAAAAGAAGAAAATAAAAATTTTTATACGGATTATTGATAACCCGGTACGTAATTGGTAAAATCGCTATAACAGATATACAGGAAGCTACGGCATTAAAGAAATCGTATATTTGCGATTGCTCGCGTAATGGGTCGTATGCAAATGCAATCAACTCGATGCACAGCTTTCAATTATTGATCTATCCTTGTGCATCGCGTGATTTGTCGCACTTGCACCCACCTTCTCGTCTATTGATCTATAATAGATCTCCTGTAGGTGGCAGTGGAACGATCTGTTCGCCGGAAGACGTTTAATATGACGGCAGGTAATAATAAATTGATTGCTGCCGATCAAGGGCATAAATTGATTATTAGTTGCTGCATCGAGTTACAGTTCTGACGACCCACGATGATTTACAGTTTAATGATTCGTGGTTGAATGATGCGTACCACTGGTATACAAGCATCTTTCTGTTCAGCCTTATGATCATAAGTGTAACACCTATTAAATTTCAAACAAAGGTTGGAATAATTATAATATTACATATATATCTTCAAATTCACACATTCTCCTTAGGGACACCTAGGGGAAAGAGCGACACGTGGACATCGCCATTTTTCCTGTGAAAGCCTGGATCGCAAGTGTACTAATTTTTATTTAATTTTTAAGATTGCCTCAATTTAATAAGTTATTAGTAATCACAGTATCATTAATGAAATAAAATTAAAATCAGTGAAAAATATCAATATCGTTAAGAACCATTAGGATAATTTAGGGTAAGTTAGTTTTATAGAAAGACTAGAGGAATTATGTAATAATTTTTAAGATTTTAATACTTCTAAAATCAATAGTGCTGGTTTTTGTTCCGAACATTTGATTTTCTAAATGATTTAAGATCCCACTTCCTCGGGGTTCATTCAAACATGACCCCCATAACAGGCCGAGATTTATGGCAAACCGAGGCCCCTAATTAGAATCACACCAAGGTGTCCTAATTACAGGTTTTGGTACCACGTTTTCGAGCCTTCCCAAAGCTGCACCTTTGGCGCAAGTCCTGCCAATTTCTGCCCTTTTCCCACTAACAGCTCATTAATTGTTAGAAAAACTAGAAAACCCTGGGCGTTAGCCACTATGGAATTTACATCTGATTAGCTAACACCATATCTGACACTTGGGTAACACTGTAAATGAACTACATTGACGCTTCCTTTGTTTCTCTTTCCTTTTTGGGGACCATCAGAGAAAAATGGTCTTAAAAAATAATTTTTCTAAATTATAGGTATATGTATATATGAGTATAATGTATTATTTATTTGCATTGTATTATAATCCAAATATAATGATTAATGATGTACAATCGGTAGATAAATTATAACAAATGACAAAGTTCACCTTAAACTGGGTCATCGGTATAATGTTTCATACGAACAAGACAAGATTCATTAATTTCTACAGCTAACGGTTCGTATCAATGATTTGAGAAAGCCACGCAAGAGACAAAATTACCGTTTCACCATTATCACGATGAATCCGACCTCCAATCCGCGTGAAACGATTCGAATCAATGCCAAAGTAATCATTCGGAAAGTAGGAACAAAAGTCGAACAAAATGCTTTCTGATTTCAACAAACGTCCTCGGATTTGTTCTGAATGATTCATAAAAATCTGCTATAAAATAATCAATTTACATTTTTTTTTTTTGATTGAAAAATTAATGCGATGAAATTAAGCTTCTCTAGGGAAAAAGATCATTCGATGTTTACCATATTTTTCATTACTTTTGCATTCAAAAATTCCTATAAATTTCTGAAAATATGCTTTTTTGGATGAAGACAGATTTATTAAAAACATTTAATAAATTTTTTCTAAAACAAAGAAAAATGAATTTCTCTCGTTTATATCTGGATAAAATCATTCTTAACGATTATAATTCTTCATCGAGCAGCTAAATTCCATCTGTCTGCTAAAGAAAAGCATCGTTTACTTAATTATCCCCGCGTGAAGCACGGCTAACACACATTACAGGAAAAATGATCCAAAGAAAGCGCGGTGAATTTCTCTGTTGCGCTTCTCGTCGAAACTCACAATTCGCTTCGAGCGTTTATCGCGTTTTCATTTCCGTGAAATCTCGTTCTGTGCGTTACATTTTGCCTGGAAAGCGGACATAGCAACGGAATTCGATGCGGCAAATCGCTTAAAGGATTTAACACATTCCTTACGGTATAGCAAATACACAATCGGAAGCACGGTTTTAATTAACAGTTTAACTAATTTGTATTCAACTTTTATTTAATTATGAAAGAATTCAAAGAAAAAGCAAATAATTAAAATTAAACCAATTGATTTTAACCCGTTAACCTAGTGAACCTTTAATTGCCTTACATTAAAATTATACTATTCAGCAAATGAAAGGCTTCATTTAATTCAGAATTAAACCAAACGCATGTTATTATGAATTAATATTATGCTACATAAGAATAAGAATATTTCCTAAAAATATAAAAATAATTTATTATACTAAATTTCAACCGACGAATTGCAATTGCTATCCCAGACACAATGGACAATTTTTATTTCTTTTAACGAGAAGGTTAACAGAAAAGTCATGGGACCAAGAAAGTTATCTTTGTCATGGATAACGGGTGTCCAGGTGCATCCTGAACATCACCACCCAGGAAGTGACTACTAGCACTGACACTTGCATCGTCATCTTGACTACTCGTCACAGAAGCCGCGGTGCCTCCGGGTA